GTTCAATCTGTGTTTGTTTTGTAAGAACTTGGAATGTCGGCTTTGCATCCTAAATAAAATATTGCAATGTTTGTTTCCACGTGTGCTTCGACTTCACCTGCATCCACTGTTTTCCCATCTTCCTGATTAAGGCATGCATGCATGCAGCCTGATAGATTGATTGTTCAGGTAGGTTCAGTACTTTCATGACGAGCCAAAAAACAAGCACAAACACTCAAGCCCAAAAATCTCTGAAAAAGTGGGCTTGCACAAGCAACGTTTAGGTCAAAGCCCAAGGCGTAATATTTATTGCGCAATTTGCTCGCGAAAGCTTCCACTAATTCGTCTTTAATTGCCATACAGAGACGATCAAATTACGGTCAACCCACATGTCGCTTCCCCCTCCTCCGATCGAGCGCCTCGGAGCTCCCCTCTTCTTTTCTTATCTGTTCATCTTTTCTTACTAATCATAGCGAATTCAAGAAAAGTCTAGCCATCATTTTTATCCCCAACTTTTTCTGGGTGCTTGGAAGAATTTCTCTTTTTGCTATTCTTGTTGTTTGGATCTTCCTTTCCCGTTCATCTTTTCTTTATAATCACAACAAATTTGAGAAAAGTCGAGTCCCAAACTTTTTCTGGGGTCTCGTAAGAATTGATGGCTACTTTCTTATGGTTTCATGCTTCGAAATGTAGAAGTAGCTTACAACATGCGCATTGTTTCTTTTCACTACCGTCTCCCTGACCTTTGCACATCAATGTGCGCTAATGAGACGATCCGTGGGGGAAATTATGTATATGTCGACAAAACACCATCCGCCTTCGCTTCTAATCAACTTTTAGCCATTGATGTTTACCTGCGGTATAATTGGACACAAAGATGGGACCAGCGAAGACATGTCTGGGTCAAAAGGCAGGAATGTGGAACGGGCTCTCCATCACCGGCATCTGTCGATCTCCTATTCGGACGGTGATGGAATTCTCTCTCTCTCTCTCTCTCTCTCTCTCTCTTAACTATGGCAATGAACAACAATGCATGAACCTATCGAGTTTTTTAGTTTAGCTTTACAGATCCGACCCTTTGGCTTTTGATCATAATAAACGTCATCAAGCTTTTAATAAAGAAAAGTAAAATATGTAAGTATGCTTCTATGCATTGAAATGCTGCTACTTGCAATGAAATGAACGCGTGTGGACGTTTCTTGTGAATCCATTTCTTGACGGTGGTACACTTGTCATATATTCTCAGACACCACAAGGTCAACACTCTCAAAGTGAACACTCGGATTTCATCAGCTTTTATTGTTTGAAGAAGCAACAAAGAAGAATGGCAAATGTGAATGATATAGGAAAGAGGAGGCCAACTGTTGTGACTGCAGGATATCAAAACAGCTGAGGTTTCAGAAGGCAAATGCCACACGATTGGTTGCTGTGTTCTAAAACTTGAGCAGTAAAATAGTCTTCTTAATTTTCACCGTCTCTTTCTTCTTGAAGCCGACCCGAAGAACCAAGTCATCGTGGACGCACCATTTCACGACTTCTAGAATCTAAATGTGTTTTGCATCAGCACACTTGTTCCTGAGCCATGCCAACAACCTTCACAAGCTCTTCCAAACCCTTCCTCCATCTACCGGCAGCAACCTCGCAAGGTACGATGTTCTTACAAGCAGACATCTGTGCTGAACTTGATATCTACAAAACGGCATGTGGCAATGAAATGAATTTGTCACCAACAAATTATAGCACAACTCATCAAAAGCACAGAGAACAGAATGTATCTATCATCTTCATCTGGAATTGGAAGGGAAAACCCAAACCCGACTGCAATCTGAACTGCAATAGGATAAGAGAAGAAAAGCTACATCCCATGTCCTCCAAAGTATCGATCACATGATGAGACTGTCAGATCTTCGAGAGCGAGGGTCAAAACGGTCTTTGACAGTAAATTCGTATGCACCAAAACCCAAAGATGCAATTTGATAGAAATCATCCTGCACTTGCTAAATGAACTAGATAGTGACTTTGCTTGGATTGCTCAGACTAGTTGTTAATTCCTTTTTTCACTTCATCCGATTAAGCTTTTGAGCTTTTATGGGGTATTTGAATGGATTCGATTATACGGTTCAATCGTGGACACAACCTAACGATGTTGTGTAAAGAACAACCAGCACGTGCGATTGCTTGAAGGAAACAAGCGCAGAGACGTAAAGAATTGAGTCACTTAGATGAACGAATATTCGAAATTGACATTAAGAGGAATGACTAACACTTTGTGCAAAAGACACCATAAGAACAAACGAAGAGCGCGTAACGCACAAATGTTGGGATGACCGAATTCGAGCTACGACTTGACGGTACTCAAGACAAGTAAGGCCCGTAACAAAGGATGAAATCATAAATAGAGGGATGAGTTACTTGATGATCGAAAGAGTTACAGAAGACTTATAAAGATGAAGAAAATTTAGTTAAAAAATAAAATTTTGATATAACGACCTAAAATGAACAAACAAGCATTAGACAACCAAAAATAGAACAGAAAATTTAGTTGAAAAAAATATATGCATAAACATAAAACAAATGCAGCAGCAATTGAACTTCCTTAATAATACAACCATAATCACTAGCCCCCAATAACCAACCGATTCACTTACAAAACCTACTCGAGTAACACAGTTAGTGTCCGATGAAGCATAACCAAAGACCACACAATGCCTCCACAAAAGGTTCCACACATCTACTGTATCTCATCTACTTCACACCAGCTTCGAATACAGCAACCAGAGTTCTACTTCAGCACTGAGTCAACCATCACAAAGGTCGTATAATGCAGGATCTATAACGCCGTTGAAATCCATGAGGCTATATATATTGGGAGATGCGACTGTGAAGAACTGCATCTTTTTTCGAGGCCGACCGGCCTCGACCTCGACCTCCACCAGCGTATCCACAGTGCCGCTCTTTGGCTCGGTCGGCAGGCGCAACGACGAAGCCGACGAACCTCGCCCTCCGCATACTGATTTGAGGTTCACCATTTCTGCATGGAAATCCCGACATTAGTCAGTACCGTGAAAGATCTCCGAGAAAAAAAAATCCTAACACTACCCACTACGAGCATACCTCGAGGTGTCAGGCTAAGACCCGCCTCGACCAGCCATTGCTCGGTCATGTTTCGGATGACTCGGGAGGCTGAAATAATCTCCTTGAGCCCCTGAAGGCCACTGCACTCCTCGTCGTTCAGAGCCGGGGCGGTGTTGTCGATCATGCACACAGCCCATCAGAGCCCAAAGCCCCAGTCCCTCGCGCGGCAAACGTAAAAGAAACGCCTCTTCCATCCCTTGTTATTGGAAGGGGCCCTGCTAACCCGGAAGCCCGACCGAGAGGAAAGATAGTAACCCCCAAACCCCTTAGAAAGACGAAAACAAGACAAGAAAAGAGACCGGGTCGGGGTAATATGGGCGTAATGACACTCCCCTAGGAATGCCACCAGATAGCGCCAGGAGTTCGGCGCCATCTGCGATGGAGAAATACGCCACCATGAAATACAGGAGATGATGATTGGGTGCAGAGGGAAGCGCAAACCCGCCTCAAGGGCATCCAGGGTCAGGGCGAAACCCTTCAGGATCGGGTCGTATGCCCGTTGCCCTAGCTCTGGGGCGATAAGGACAAATTCCTCCAAGATGCTGTAGCGCTTCCGGAGGTTGCCTAGCGACGACTCACTCACCATGGAGTCAATGTCGTGCGGCCACATTAAGGCTTCAAGGGCCCGAGCCGCCTTCTCGTCGGATGATGAGTGGGGGCTCGACTGCAACGCCTTTCCTCCAACGTTACCGGAAGTGGAAGTAAAGAAGGGGAGGACGAGGAAGAAGGGGAGGACATCCTTACTGACCTTTGGAAGGGATGAAAGGACGACCGACTCGAATGAAGCATGAGGTCCCGGAGAAGCGACTGGACAAATGTCGTAAGGAGGCGCGCTGTGAACCAACTCCACGCTATTTATAGGGAAGATCCCGCCAATAGCAACCCTTCGCCTCCTGCAGCATGTTGCGTGGGGCAGGCCGAACGTCACTCATCATAAATATGGCCTGACGTGGCAGCCGATGGGCGGGCAAGACGAATACCAATGCGCTGTCTTCTCGGTTCCGATCCCCGAGAGACGGCGCTTCTGCGAAAAGTAATCACCCTCTGTGCTCCCGTGCAAACGAGACTGACTTGGCTACCCTCGATTCGCAGATCGCTGCATAACAGATTACTTCTCTAAGCAGCTCCTCGGCCTCGCGTCGCCTGAGACCACCTCTGTGTGGCCATGCCCGCCTGAGTCGTGCTCCTTGGCCCCGCGTCACCCGAGACCACCTCTGCGCGGCCATGCCCGCCTGAGTCGTGCTCCTCGGCCTCACGTCGCCCAAGACCACCCCTGAGCGGCCGTGATCGCCCGAGTCGTGCTCCTCGGCCTCGCGTCGCCGGAGACCACCTCTGCGCGGTCGTGACCACCCGAGTCGTGCTCCTCGGCCTCGCGTCGCCCGAGACCACCTCTGTGCGGCCATGCCCGCCCGAGTCGTGCTCCTCGGCCTCGCGTCGCCCGAGACCACCTTTGCGCGGCCATGCCCGCCCGAGTCGTGCTCCTCGGCCTCGCGTCACCCGAGACCACCTCTGTGCAGTCATGCCCGCCTGAGTCGTGCTCCTCGGCCTCGTGTCGCCCGAAACCACCTCTACGCGGTCATACCCGCCTAAGTTGTGCTCCTCGGCCTCAAGTACCCGAGACCTTCAATGTACAACCGATCTGCCTGAACCGCGCTCCTTTGTTGCAGGCTCCACGATTCACATACTTATGACAACGGACCGACAGGATTAAATACTTAAAGCAGAAGCCACGCCTCAGGCTCCCCCAACAAACAGCCGAGGCATGGCCTCCTTCGGGGGGGAATGTGATAGTGGTAATAATGGTGATAGGACGTGCGTTGACATCAGCTCCTCCCAGATAATATCTATGTCTCGGTTTGATCTGACACGCCTGATCGAGGCAGACCATGACGACGATCGAAGTACAGAACATCCTGTGCGAGCTCGATTCATCACGCAACACCAACTGCGGTGTCGGACGCTATCAGAAGTACGACCCTTCCTTGCAAATGGGCAAATCAGGGAGCAGTGAACTTCCCTATAAAAACCCCCGCACTTGAGGAAGAGGGAGGAAAAGAAGGGTGGAGAAACCCCCTTAGACTACCACTGACTTGATCGTCTAAGGGGTCGGGCCGAACTCTTCTGACCCGACCTGTGTGCAGGAACGAAGACGGAACTCCTCCCCCTTGAATGTCGAAGAAGGGAATCCCGAACCGGAGAAACCCGGCGAGCCCCGACGCGATCCGAGCAGTGCGACCAACTACCTAAGCAACTTCGAGGGACGCTGAACAAGATCCCTGTTCATTCGGACCTGAACCAAGCCGTGTCGGCCCTGAGGCCACGGCTTAAAGTTGTTAACCCTAACATCCGGTACCCACGGGGTGACTCCCTGGGCCACTTCCTGGTGTGGGTGTCCCTGATCCCGGTCTTCATCAGCTTTGGTGGGTTCATCTCCCACTTCATCTTCCGGCGGGAGCTGCAGGGCCTCTGCTTCGCCCTCGGCCTCATTATCTCCCAGGTCATCAACGAGCTCATCAAATCCTCCATCCAGCAGTCCCGCCCGTGCGCCGTCCTCGAGGTCTGCGACTCCCACGGTTGGCCCTCCAGCCACTCGCAGTTCATATTCTTCTTTTCGACCTACTTTTCCCTCCCCTGCCTCATCAACGGCGTCGGCGTCTCCTCCCCCAGCTCTAGACGCATCATCGGCCTCCTCCCGTGGCCTTCCGCCTTCCTCACCCTCTACTCGCGCGTCTACCTCGGCTACCACACCGTCCCCCAGGTGGCACCCGCATCTCTCCGATCAGCCCAGGATTCAATCTTTTGTGTGATAAGGGGAATGATTTGATTTATCGGTCAGGTGCTCGCGGGATCGACGCTGGGGCTGCTGCTCGGGGCCGGGTGGTACTCGATCGTGGACACGATGCTGGTGGACTTCTTTCCGGCAGTGGAGGAGAGCGCGATCGGGAGATTCCTGTACACCAAGGACTCGACGCACATCCCGAACGTGCTCAAGTTCGAGTACGACAATGCAAGGGCTGCCAGGATTGAACGCACACCTGTATGTTGCTGGATTCTTTGTTCCTAATCTTTTAATTCTCTTGGTAGTCATTTAGATACTTTGCTGTTTCTTGTTCTTACTCTTGAAAGTTTTTAGGGCTTATATCATTGGGTTGTGACAATGACCCTTCGTTCTTCGTTCTACAACATAATGGATTAAAACAGAATTAATAAAAGTTATAAGGGTATACCTATAATGTGATTAAAGGAAACCCTAATCTCAAAAGGGCAAAACTATAATTTGCCTTTTCCAACCCTAATTTGGTGTCGAGCCGATGGCCACCACACCTAAGAACTGCTCCTACTTGCGGGTTGTCGTTCCCTGGGCATGGCCTCTACTCGCGGGCGGCTATCGCTTGTGCGATAGTCGTTGGTGTGATCGTTGCCCGTGGGCGATTGTCTCCTGTGTGACTATCGTTTGTGTGATCGCTGCCTACGAGCGGTTGTCGCTTACACTACCGACCCAGCACGCCATCGTCGCCCTAGCCCTGCATGTGATTATTGGCTGGGCGTGGCCTCTGCCTATGTGCGGTCGTCGCTTGCATGATCGACCCAACACTTAGTTCGCAGTTGTCGCCAGTATGGCTGCCGCGATGGGTGGTTAATCGCAAGTCCGCTATAGCGACCGCATGCAGCACTACTACTGCAGTCGATGCGACTACCATCGACAGTAGTGCTGCACAGCCACCTTCGCTGCCTCGCGATCATCGAAGACCACCACAAAAAGAATCTCATGTAGTTCGCAAACCGATACACAACAGATTAAATAAGAAGATAGATCGATAACATACACGAGCTAAGACATTTGATTTTAAGAAACTAGGCTTTGATACCAATTGTAACTATAAAATATGTAATTGTAACTATAGTGCATAAAAAATTTCATACTAGGATTAAAATTAAATAACAATAAATTAAATTTATGATGTGTATCTTTTAATGTCATTTGGAAAGAACTCTATCGTATCGGTAGGGGCATCGTTTTTTTATCCAAAAAAAATACTATGAATCAGTAAGGAGAACTAGAATCTCTTCGGACAAACGGATGGGGGGAGTTCACCTCCGGGAGAAGGCGAAGGGAGAGAAGAGTCCGGAAGCGTCCCTCGCCGCCCACCCGAACGCCTTGCCCGGGTGCTCCTCCCCCGGGGACGTCGCCTTCCTCACCCCGTTCTCGATTGCCGCCACTGCCATTGCCCACTCCTCTCTTTATTCTCGCTCGCCGATTACGGTGGAAAGGACGACACGGACGGGAGGGACGAGGCGGTTATGTGCTGGTATATGCGAACCGTGCCCTCGAGCTCATCGTATCGTCGTCATCGAATCTGCCTTACGATTTGCTTACTTCACGATCCAACGGTGAGATGCGACGACAACATTTTGGTGACGATGCGCCTCCAGTGCATCGTCGCTTCGGACACGACCACTCTGACGTTGGCACAAACTATGTTAGCCGCGGGATGGGCAGCTTCGTCAGATGGACGGTTTAGGTTCACCTCATCGGATGTGCGTACGTGGCGACCTGTAAGTGGGGCAGGCCGTTGGTCTCCGACTGTAACCCCGGCGTTGCGAGCCGATCCAGCAAATAGCTTCGTATCGCATCAGAACGACAACGCCCTTCCACAGGGCTGATGTCATTAGCCTGGCCCCGGGGCATCACGATGACGGGACGGTGTTTCGTAGCTCGGTGAGCACGGCTGCTCGCCGGAGGAGACTGGAAGGTGCTTACGGTGCATTAAAGCCGCCACTAACCGGCATAGATACATGTTTCTTTGTTTTGGCTCTTTCCTTTGTTTTTATTAGATATATGTATATAATTAGCTGGAATTAGCTGGCAGATGAAGTAATGGCATGATGAAGTGTAAAATTGAAACGACAAGAGGATTTGGAGCGGAATTAATGGATATACTGACGGTGGAGAGTGAATGAGCGATGACGTGGTTTTCTGGATGGTGATAAGCCACCACCACCAGCAATCCCCACTGGACTCAGCTTTCATATCAGAGGTTTGAAAGGGTGAGCTGAATCTATTCTCCGGTAGTTGGAAACAAGCAAAGCCACCTTCTTTAAGAACGCTGCACCACGTGTTGTCTTGGCGACATCACTCACACCAAAGGAGAAGAATTCAAGAAAGCACAGCATCACGATAACTTCCAACTCTTCCCTCTCAACGATTATGCTTCACTTGCCCTCGTCGTATGTCATATCGTCAGAATGCAACCGTTGTGGTTCTTTATACTGGTTATAGTGTAAGATTGTCTATGTGATTATCCATAAGAAAAGTTTCATGAAGAATCATGATCGTTGTGTCCTAAGATGTTTTTGGCGGATCCGTGAGGGGTTTCCTGGATCGACCCCTCTGATGCTTAAGTCAATGAAAGGTGGAGAGGGAGGAAGACAACAACATTAGCCATGTAAATGAGAGAGAGAGAGAGAGAGAGAGAGAGAGAGAAAGTAAAGAATAGGGAGACTCTTGACTACCTCTATAGCATATGCTTGGGAGTAGTTTTTATACCTCTTCGAGGATCGATCATCCATAGGTTGTTAGCGTTCGTCAATATTTCAAGTAGGCGGTTTGTTTATTTTAGGGTGATTGTTCCGAACTCGTGTTGTGAGAGGCTATCTCCATACTTTCGGGCATCGCTTCGTGTGATTCCAAATGACATGGATTCCACTTTGCGTTGCTTCGGAGTCGGGTTACATTGCTTCAGGACAACCATTCCTGAATCGATCTATGTCATTTTGCACTATTTTGAGATATGTGTACTACTTTGGTTGGAGTAGTGCTAGGTGTGATTTGAGGTGGCTGTCAGTTGGGTGGTACCAGAATATCATCTATCATTTTCTCCCCCCACAAAGGAGTATCATGTGTCTCTCCTAGGGGGATTCATGGTGTGTCCTTTGTGCGTCTCTCTTGGTGGCTTTCTTGCTTGTTGTTGAAAAAACATGTTAGCCTAGCCGAGGTGCAGACCTCGGTTCTTCATGCCAATGTGCATGGCTAGAGAGCGTAAAGGCTCAGCCCAGGTGTAGCCTTCGGGGTTTCATGTCGAGTGCACGACTATAGAGTGTGTATGCTCGGCCGAGGTGCAACCCTCATGTCTTCATACCGAGGTGCACCGCTAGGGACCGCAAAAGCTCGGCCTAAGTGCAGCCCTCGGGTCTTCATGCCGAGGTGCACGGTTAGGGAATGCATAGGCTCAGCCTAGGTGCAACTCTCGATGCTTTATGTTAAGTGCACGACTAGGCAGCATGTAGGCTCGGCTTAGATGCAACCCTCGGGTCTTCATGTCGAGGTATACGGTTAGGAAACACATAGGCTCTACCTAGGTGTAGCCCTCGGGATTTCATGTCAAGTGCACGACTAGGGATCGCATAGGCTTGGCTTAGGTATAACTCTCGAGGCTTCATGTCGAGTGCATTGCTAGGGAGCACGTAGGCTCGTCCAAGGTGCAACCCTCGAGTCTTCATGCCAAGGTGCACAGCTAGGGAGCGCATAGGCTCCGCTTAGGTGGATCCCTTGGGGCTTCATGCCGAGTGCACTATTAGGGAGTACGTATGCTCCACCTAGGCGCAACCCTTGGTTCTTCATGCTGAGGTGCACGACTAGGGAGCGCATAGCTCTTTCGGAATCCTGATTGCTGGGTTGCTTGCTGAGCTAGGGCACAGGTGTTTGTTTTCTGGTGCTTACCAGATAGAGGTAAATGTGAACTTAATAGAGGGTTGGCTATATATCTAATTTGATACGGTTCAAACTAGTGTATTTTTTGTTTGTATTCTTGCTCGATAAATGTTCTCCTCTGCAACGGCAGACTCTTGCTTTAAGTTTTACTTCTTCACCAATATCATTGAGGCTTGGAATTGAGTCGATAAGTTCCCTAATGCATGGTGGCACAATTTGGTGTGTCAGAAACACATAATTAATGTTTATATATTTTGTGAATTGTAAGAAAAAGAAACAGAAAGTTGATCACTCAGGATAGATCGAAGAATGTCCATTCTTTTTCTAATACTTGTCTTTTTGAATCAGAGGTAATTTCTTTTTGTACAGAGCTGAAATGCAGAAGTAATAACATGATGTAGAGTATTAGCTTCGATAATTCGATAATAAAATCTTTAAGAGAGACAGAGAGAGAGGAAGAGGCTTCTCTTCTCTTCAATCAATCAATCGCTGTGTCATATTGACATTTTAAATTAGTTGGCTATGCTGATATTATTGTTCAGGTTGATTGAATTGATCCATTGTTTTTTTTATTTAACTCTCATTTTTATTATAAAGCACAATATCACCGCACAAGTAGGAAAGATGCAATGCCGTGAGATTGTTAGCCACTTGTGCATTCAAAATGTGATTTGGTTGTTCTCCGGCTTTCCTTTTCGTGGGACGCGGCGGGGAAAGCTTATGTGACATCACGATTAATCCAATTGCCTTACCAAATCTGATCGCCACATTATTTTAGTCAAATCAAACCAAACCAGGGTAGCCAATTGGCACTAAGCTCTCTCTCTCTCTCTCTCTCTCTCTCTCTATATATATATATATATATATATATATATATATATATATATATATATATATATATATATATATATATATATATATATATATAATTATGTAGGTTTGAGAACAATTCACTTAGGCGCATTATTAGTGGGTACGAAGCAATGCAGCTAGTGATAGGGAAAATAATGGTCGGATGACGCGCCGTGAC